CCAGGGTGTTAAATCATGTATATTGGGAGACTGCTTCTAAATTGATACACTCTCCCTTCTCTAGGCTGACATCTAGCACTCTCAGTCTTATACTTGACTCCTGCTGGTATATGTTGGGTAACACTCATAGCAATTCTAGGGCATACAGAGCCCCTTTCCTTAGTTACAGGCCAGTATTTCCCTGGCTGGGTTATAACATGCTTTAGTTACTGGCCTGTGGCAAAGAGAGGAGGTGAAGGTAGTTCCTGAGGTGGGTGCATGTTATCTTGCTAGGCAGAGGCTTCTGCATCATCTTATGCAAGGGTGGAGTGCCAACCTTTAATAGAGAGGAGTAGGCCACTTCTGCAGGCCAAGAGGATGGAAGGGGGTTTGGGATTCAAGATATTCAAGTGAATCTACTTGGTTATTTTCATCCAACGTTTCAGGGCCCAATCTGGGCTGGGACCTCACCATTACAGACTTTCCAAGTTTGAGAATTCAGCCTTTATACTGCGACAATCCTTGCAGTAAATTCTGGGCCAGATCCTCAGTTGCTTTCCCCCCGTTAGCTACAGGAGATGAAAGGCTATTTGTATGCTGCCAGGGAGAATGTCTACATTTCATATTTGGGTTTTATTGGTAATTAATCACCGTCTGACTTTCACTTTCTTTCTCAAATGCATTTATTGTCCCCAAAAAAGCTATTCAATTCCCCATTATTTATAACTATCATGCATATAATTACTCTGTGCCCCCAATTTTTCTAATGCCTGGGATTCTGCCAATGCCAGTATATTGCCTTCTTCCAGAGTCCCAGTTAGTTTGCCATTGATTAAGATCTTATCTGCTTTCCTGTAACATGCCATGGGCTATTCATGCTCCATGGTTCAGCTCTGAAATCCAGTTTAGTGGCTACTTCCTATGATGGTCCCTGGCACCAGCTATCTTAAATTGGCTTGGAAAGACTTTGCCATGGAGATTTGCATGCAGAAATTTTGGGGAACAAAGAAAATATGACAAGACAGATAGAGGAGTTGAACTGGGATGCAGCTGCAACAAAGCCTCAGCCAACTCACTGAGAGCCCTAGAATTGGGATGATTCTTCAGAGTTGTCTCAAAGCAAGTGAGCTGGGCCTGTATACCCTCTACTTGAACAGTTATTGGCATGAATTACCCATGGAGGCTGAGGATAGTTGGAGAGCAACTGAATTTAGCTGCTAATACTCCCAGCAGTCTTGATGGGGTTGGGACTATGAACAGTCCAGCCCAGTGTCACTACTGCATTGAAATTGGAAGTTGGGCCATGTATGATTGCTTGAGGATGGGAACTGTGATTTTTGGGTTGCAAATCATATGAGATGAGCTCCATAACGTCTGGCTCTGAGTCTTGACCCTTAGGGAGCAAGAAAGAGGCAAATGTAAAATTCAAATATGGAGCAGACATGCCTGTAATCCCACTACTTTGGGAGGCCAAGGTAGGAGGATTGCTTTAGCCCAGGAGTTTGAGATCAGCCTGGGCAACAGGGAAGATTCTCTCTACAAAAAATAAAAATATAAAACCCTAGCCAGGCATGGTGGCACATGCCTGTAGCCCCAGCTACTGGGGAGGCTGAGATGGGAGGATTGCTTGAGCATGAGAGGTCAAGACTACAGTGAACTGTGATCATGCCACTGCACTCCAGCGGGAGAGACAGAGTGAGACCCTGTCTCTACAAAACAAAACAAATTTGGAACAGAAAATGAATTCACATTCAAAATATGTCCACATACCAAAATTTTTGCCCAGGGGAAAATCAGTGTCATTAAATGCTACCAAATAATTGCAGATGTTATGCCTGAGGAAATATAATTATTGAGCTAATTAATATAGAATTTAAAATAAGAATATTTAATTCTTCTAGAGATAAAGGAGGAGATAACATCTGTGAAACTAGAAACGTTTATATGACATTGACTAAAAGTTGTGAAATAAGAGCAAATAGATATAAAAAACCAAGTAATCAGAAGTCTTGAAAATGAAAAATGCAGTATTTGAAATAAAGTCTTATAAAGAATAATAAATGAATTTTGAAAACAGACAGTGATAGAATCAGTTAACTGGAAGAGCAAAAGTGTGCTATGATACAGGATATGAAAATATAGATATTAAGAGATCTGGGAGAGGGCATTGATTAAGCAGCACCATTTCTCTGTTAGGAGTTTCAGAGATTGGAGAGAGGTTTAAACGTGCAAGAGATATATATATTTTGAGATCTTATGGAAGAATTAATTTTCCATCTATAGAAAGCTCACTGAGTTGCAGCTGCCAAAAATCTACCAAAAAACACATCAGGTTTTGTGAAACCATAGGGCATCAAAGTCAAGAAAAATACTAGTAAGCAGCCTAATCCTGTTAAAGGAATGGCAATACAAATGACATCTTCTCACCTGCAACAATAAATGTCATGGAAAATAACAGAATTATCTTTAAAGTAGTGAGAGAGTATAGGATTTATTTTAGAATTCCAAACCCAGCTACCATACTACAAGTTTGAAGGTGTAATTGAAATATTTGCAGACATACGAACCCAAGATTTACCACATAAACCATAGCTGAAAGAATTCTTAAAAAGTATACCATGGAAAGAAGACAAATGAGGCCAGACTAAAGGAGTAGAATGCAAGAATAGAAAGTGAGCAAATTAACTGGTAAAGCATGTTGGAAAATCTAAATAATAATTGTTGATGTTCAACAGAAAAAAAAAACTAGCATCTCATAGGCTTTAACTTTATCAGCAATAATTTATTTCATTACAAAAATGAGGCAAAACTGGCAAAATAATGACATTTTAAAATTAGTATGTTATAAACTATCACAAGAACAGAAAACCAAACACCGCATACTATCACTCATAAGTGGAGCTGAACAATGAGAACACATGGACACAGGGAGGGGAACATCACACACCAGGGACTGTCAGGGGGTGGGGAGATGGGGAGGGATGACATTAGGAGAAATACCTAGCGTAGGTGACGGGTTGCTGAGTGCAGCAAACCACTATGGTACATGTATACCTATGGAACAAAACTGCACATTCTGCACATGTACCCCAAAACTTAAAGTACAATAAAAAAATTAGTGCTGTTATATAAAACAAACAAACTAAACATTCAAAAAAAGGCAAAAAACAAAACAAAAAACAACCCAAGGTGGAGTTAGAATCATATAAAATACTGTAGAATAGCAGAAATGCAAGGATACTTAGTAGTTAGAAATTAACACAAATCACCATGAGTTGATTAAAAAAGAAATTACAAAAAGTCATCTTATTCATACAGAAAAAAAAGTTTCTTAAATTTTTAACATTTAAAACCTTAAATGGACCCTGCAGTTACTGCCTTTCTCCTTCCACTTGTGTCTTCTCAGGTCCTCATAAAGCATCCAATTGTTTTAAATTGGACCAGCCCCAAAGCCTGGTCTCATTAGCGCTCTTGTCAGGTTTCTGTACATACTCTCGTGGCCCAAGGTTCCATCTAGCTATTGTATCATATTATTGTATACACACAAATAATTAAATGTCAACATTTAAAACAAGTTGATAACATCTTTGTAGTAACTTAGGCAAAAACAAAGCAAAAATTCAACACTTTTTCATGATCTGAAAGACTGAAAATTAACTGCTTCAATAGATTATGGGTTATCTAACAACCATGTAAAGATCATACTTTATGGTAAAATTTAGAAGCATTAACACAAGGCATAAAACAGGAATGCCCGTATTAACCATACTGTTCAACCTGGACTTGAAGTAATATCCAATATAAAAGATTAAGGAAAAATAAGATGTAAGAAGCTTGTCAAGAGACAATATTCTCATTATTTGGAGATATTATTTTTATCAATCAATCGAGAATCTACACATACGCCATTAAAGAAATTCAGTAATTGTGTTTGATACAAGATCAACCTAAGAAACATATTATTTCCAGCTGGGCGCGGTGGCTCATGCCTGTAATCCTAGCATTTTGGGAGGCTGAGGTGGATGGATCACCTGAAGTCTGGAGTTCGAGACCAGCCTGGCCAACATGGTGAAACCCGTCTCTACTAAAAATACAAAATTAGTAGGGTGTGGTGGCGCATGCCTGTGATCCCAGCTACCTGGGAGGCTGAGGCGGGAGAATCACTTGAACCTGGGAGGTGAAGGTTGCAGTGAGCTGAGTTTGTGCCATTGCACTCCAGCCTGGGCAACAACACTCGTGTCAAAAAACAAACAAACAACACACACATACACACACAGAGTCTTAGAATTATAAGCTTTTCCAGGATAAAATAATTATATTAAAAACATACAAGAAGTAATGAATGAAAAAGAGCTGGCTCTAATAGTTGGGGGGAAAATAAAGCCCAATAACAAACAATTTGCTAAGCCAATTATGAAAAAAAGGAGGGTACATAATCATTATTTCCAGTTCTGTCTGTTTTGCAAACAACAAACATTTGTCCAGGTACAACTATTTGCAAGCTCCCCCCAAAGGGTTCAGGCCACCATAGAGAAAAATTCCATGGTGAGAAGGTGGTCATAAACTAGTCCAGAGACTAGGGCCAAAACCCGTTAAACAAAATAAATGTAATTATTTTTAGTAATTAACTTGGGAGAAAAGGCGTGCCACAGTAAGGTGCTGGGGAAAGGGCGGATTTTTAGAGAAAATTGCTGGAACTGAGGTTTAAAGCAAAACCAGGGGGAATGGAGCTGCCTAGGGGTGACTTCCATACAAAACAGGCCCGATGCAGCAATCTCACAGTCTGAAAGTAGACTGTATTTCAACTAGCATAGTTTTATGCCAAGGAGGATCTTTTTTTCCAGACTTTCTAAGTCGGCCACTGATCCAAAATTCTGCAACGCAGCCTGTATCAAAAAAGCATCTATCCGTCATCCATCCACTCTCGGAGATCCTTGTAGGTTGCACAACATCCACACAATGGCTATCAGGAGACAGTCGCCTGGAGCCCAGTAGCGTGGCAAGAGATTGTGGGAGGCAGCTCATTCCTGGAACAGGCGCCTCCGGGCCTTGCACGGAGGGCGCTCTGGGAGCTCCGGGCGCGCATGGGGACCTGGACTTGGAGAGGGAGGTAGAGGTTGGAGAGGTGAGCTGGGGACAGGCTCCAGAAGGTGGAATTCCGGGTCGAAGATGGGGCTTGGAGAGCGTCTCTCTGAACTGGGGTTGGAGGCCAGAGCACAGGGCCCTGGGATGGGGCCCTCCCGGTAGGGGCTGAACATACTTCTAGCGGAGGGGTAGAGCCCAGCGGCTGAGCCGGATGCGGAGTCCATGCAGAGCTCCGGGAATTCAGAGTCCGCGTCCTCCTCGTAGGCCTCTTCCTGGGCAGCGATCTCTGGGACAGACGCGCAGAAGACTTCCTGCTGGACGACGACGTCTTCCCCGTGAGCGCCCAGGAAAACGTCCACTTCCAGGTCGGCAGACGAGTCGCCCTGCGCTCCTGAGCGTTCGTCGACGGAGCTTAGGAGGACCTCCGGGATCAGGATGAGGGTGTGTCCACCAAGAGACACTCGCAGGACCGACATTGGCGCGAGCTCCAGCACCAGGTCGACGTCGTCCAGGGGCACACGCAGGGCACAGCCCGCGGCCAGGACCACCACGGAGGTGAGCGCGTCCACAGCTGGGATCCCCGCCGGGTCTTCCGGGCTGGGTGCCGCGCGGGGTTCGGGGCCCGCGGGCTCCTCCAATCGGCTGCGCTTGGCAGGGCCTGGTCCTCCTGGCTGCTGTCCCCACCAGGGCGCAAGGCAGGCGCTGGGACTGCGGGGCCGGCTGCCCATCACCTCGACGGCGCTGCGGACGGCGCTCCTGGGCCTGGCAGAGGACGTGGGGGCGGGGGGCGCGGGCGGCGAAGTCCTCTTTGAGGTAGCAGGTGTCAGTGGTAGGCGAGGCGGGTTGGGGCGGACGGGGCTCAGGACCGCGCGACGTGGGGCGAGTCCTCGGAGCCCTGGGGGCGCCTCCCGGAGATCGGAGTCCGTGCTACTGGTGGAGCCTCGCACGCTGTGGAGCTCAGCCTCGAGCGCTGGAATCTTGGGCCTTCCTGACGCAGACCCGGATGCACACTGCAAAGCTAATTATGTTGTAAATGACGGCAGCTGAACCGAAGTCGCAAAATGTCACGCAATCCTCCGCCCCCTGGAGGACCCGCCCTAGAGGCGGAGGTACCCCTGCTGCCCAATAGCGGTGGCTGTGGTTGGTAGGTTACGCTGGGGAAATACTTTTACGGGCCGCTGGGGGGCCGAGCATCTGTACCGCTCTAGGGCCTGGCTTCCAGTATCAAGTTCTTGTCCTTTGCGTTGACCTCAGACGCGGAGCTGCAGACCGATTCAGGTTCACGTAACACTGGTGGAGTGCCAAACCAGCACACCAAGTCCTAAATCCATCCTCCCAGGCCCCGTCCCGGAAGTGCCCTGTGCGTCACTGTTGACGAATAGTGGCGTGCGTTTTTCGGTTCTCCTAGCGTGTACATCGATGTAATATCTTTTTAGAGGTCTTGGAAGGGAGAGTAAAGCTGGGATCCTGCGTGACGATGGCAGCCCCTGCATTATCTGTTTATTACAATAATTGGTACTATAGTAATTAAAGTCTTCCCTTGATATCCCTGGAGGATTGGTTCCCAGACTCCCGCATGGATACCAAAATCTACAGATGCTCAAGTCTCATATAAAATGGTGTACATTTGCGTATCACTTACATCCTTCCACTTATTTTAAAGCATCTCTAGAATACTTATAGTACATAATACAATGTAAATACTATACCCCTGGTTGCTACACAGATATATATATTTATTATATAGTTTGTTTCTGAGATGGAGTTTCATTCTGTCGCCCAGGCTGGAGTGCTGTGATGCAATCTCTGCTCACTACAACCACCATCTTCTGGGCTCCGGTGGTCCTCCCACCTCAGCTTCCTGAGTAGCTGGGATTACAGGCACGTTCCACCACACTTGGCTAAGTTTTGTATTTTTTTTTGTAGAGACAGGGTTTCGCCATATTGCCCAGGCTGGACTCGAACTCCTGGGCTCAAGCTATCCACCCACCTTGGCCTCCCAAAGTGCTGGCACTACAGGCGTGAGTCACCGTGCCCGGCCTTATATATATTGTTTTTTTATTGTGTTATTTTCCATTTTTTCCCGAATATTTTCGGTCTTCTGTTGGTTGAATCTGCGAATGCGAAACCAGTGTTTCCAGAGGGCCAACTCTATTATGCTACAGTCAGCTGAAGTATGGTTAACTTTATCTAATTTGACCTAAACTACGGCTCTGAGGTCTGTTTTAACCCAATTTATAGATGATGAAAATGTCATGCAGAAAGGTTAACCAACTTGCCCAAGAGCCGGGAACTAGCAGAACGGGGTCTGGCTTGTACAGCTCCATTTAAGGTGATACACCTACACAATGTCAGCGTTTTTGACCTGTGTCAGCTGAAAGGCACCTCTGCATGGCATGTCCAGGCGGTAAAAGGGAAAGTGTAGCTCTGTAGCAGGACAAGCCGCAGACAAAACTCCTCGCTCCGGCCGAACAAAAAACCTCTTTCTTCTTTAATCCGGTGTCTGAGGAGTTTTATCTGCAGCTCATCCTCCATTTCTTGCTTCCCTGACCGAGAATCGAACCTGGGTCGCGGCAGTGAGAGGGCCGAATCCTAACCACTAGACCACCAGTGTTAATAGGAGAAGATACCCTGCTCTGAGTTTGGAATAGGTAATATTTTCAAGTGCTTGGGGGGACAACAAAGCGTTTCCTGACATCTTTGCTAAGCATGTGATGTCCCACCTTGGCGGGAACCATTATTACATTTTATCATTCCAGAATATTCTTGGGCATTTAAAAGCAAATCTCATACATGTTATTTATCTCCCTCCCCTTTCTACAAAATTTATTCTTTTTTAGGGTTGCATAGCATTCCTTTGGATAGTCTTTACATTTAAATGAAGTCTCTCTTGCTGGACAGTGGTCTGTCATCACTTGGTGGCACTGTTATCCTCTGGTAGGTTAATAGAAAATGCAGATTATTTGCCCCATCCTAGAGCGATTGAAGTACAATTCTTGGAACGTGGGGCTTAGGTATTCTATGTGAGCACCTCCAAAAAATTCTGTTTTACTCCAAGATCATTGGACTTGTTTTCATTTCTCAGTTGAGGAGTTCATGAAACCCGGCGGCTCATGCTTGTGATCAGGGACCTGCTTGTTGATGTCAGTGTTATGGAGGGAACTTCAACTTTCTGGGCAGCGTTCAGTACTTTTCTTAGCACAACTGGCCCGCTTTGGGTGGTTTATAGTGGCTGCCCAGTGGCTGCATGGTGGGGAATTCTCCTGGGGTCAAGTGGCCTGGGACTGGGCACTGACCAGGGTAACCAGGGTCGAGGACTGCGTTGGACGGCCCTGCTGGGAACCTGTGGTTCCTGCGGACACCTCCTGTCGGGAGAGTGTGGGTGCAGCCGGAACTGCCTCCAGTTCCTACGTGAAAGAAATAGCGGCTCAGCGCAAGCATCCAGGCAGAAGGCGGTGGGGGTGGAGCCTGCGGGAAACTGCCTGCTTTGGTCCGGTAGAGTTTTGTCTGGACCCTTGAACCTTCTTGCAGAGAACAGTGGGGGCACCACTCAGAAGCGAGGGTGGACGCGTCATGATGTATGGGGTAGATGGGCAAGCACAGATTCTGCCAGCCTACTGGGAGTGGGGCTCGGGGTTCCTCGCTAGGCCTCCAGCTCTGAGCAGGGTCGTGCCTGTGGCTTGAGTGGTGCCACCTCGTGACTGCTGCTTCCCTGACCTCAGCAGTCTCACCTGAGAGCTCCTCAGTGTCCTGGGCCTTGTGATTTAACCCAACACTCTGCTTGCTCCGAATCCTGCCTGTGAGCTCTCTTTCCAAGTGAATGTGGTCCTGCTCCAGGACAGTAGTAGTTAGTAGGGGTCCTGGAGCAGACACATCTGGCTTTCTCTCCTGGCTGGCCACAGTCTAATTGGGTGATCATGGGCAAGTCACTTCACCTCCCCTAAACTTCAGTTTCTTTACATGTAAAATGGGGAGAATGCCATCTACTGTGGCATCTCAAGTGATCTTCTTGCCTCAACTTCCCATAGTGCTTGGATTATCACCTATTCTTTATCCATTCATCCATTGATAGACATTTAGGTTGATTCTGTATCTTTGCTATTGTGAATTGTGCTGTAGTAAACATGTGAGTGCAGGTATCTCTTTGACATACTGATTTCTTTTCCTTTGGGTAGATACCTAGTGGTGGGATTGCTGGATTGAATGGTAATTCTGTTTTTAGTATTTTGAGAAATCTCCATACTGTTATCCATAGTGGCTATACTAGTTTACATTCCCACAGTGTACAAGAGTTCTCTTTTCTCTGAATCCTGACAACATCTGTTATTTTTTGTCTTTTTAGTAATAGCCATTCTGACTGGGGTAAAATGATATCTCATTGTGGTTTTGATTTTCATTTTCTTGGTGATTAATGTTGAACATTTTTTTCATATACTGATTGGCTGTATGTCTTCTTTTGAGAAATGTCTATCCATATCCTTTGCCCACTTTTTAATGGGACTTTTTTTCTTGTTGAGCTATTTGAGTTCCTTGTATATTTTACCTATTAGCCCCTTGTAGGATGAATAGTTTGCAAATTCTTTCTCCCATTCAACAGGTTGCCTTTTCATTTTGTTGATTATTTCTTTTGCTGTGCAGGGGCTTTTTTTGTTTAATTAAGTCCCATTTGTCTATTTTTTTGTCTTCTATGCTTTTGATGTTTCAATGATGAATTCTTTGTCTAGACCAATGTCCAGGAGAGTTTTCTCCAGTATTTTGTAGTTTTGTAGTTTTGGGTCTTATAGTTAAGTCCTTAATCCATTTGAGTTAACTTTTGTATATGGTGAGAGATAGGGGTTCAGTTTTATTGTTTGGAAGGTAGCTATCCTATTTTCCTGGCACCGTTTATTGAGGAAGGTGTCCTTTCCCCACTGTAAGTTCTTGTCAGTTCTGTTGAAGATCAGTTGGCTGTGAATATGGTGGCTATATTTATAGGTTCTCTATTCTGTTCCATCTGGAGAACAGAATTCTCCATTCTGTTCTCTATTCTATGTGTCTATTTTATATTTTTACCCTGCTGTTTTGGTTACTATAGCCTTGTAATATATTTTAAGTCAGGTAATTTGATTGATGCCTGCAGCTTTGCTCTTTTTGCTGAGGACTTTGGCTATTTGGGCTCATTTTTGGTTCTATATAAATTTTAGGATTGTTTTTTCAAATTCTGGGAAGAGTGATGGTATTTTGATAGGGATTGCATTCAATCTGTAGAATGCTTTGGGCAATATCTTCATTTTATATTTTATTTAATTTTATTTAGAGATAGGGTCTTACTGTGTTGCTCAGACTGGAGTGAAGTGGCATGATCACAACTCACTGCAGCCTCAAACTCTTGAGCTCAAGTGATCCTCCCACCTCAGCTTCCTGAGTAGCTGGGACTACCAGTGTGTGCCACCACATCCAGCTAATCTTTAAAATTTTTTGTAGAGATGGAGTCTCACTATATTTCCCAAGTTTGTCTCAAACTCCTCGTCTCAAGTGATCCTCTTGCCTCAGCTTCCCATAGTGCTTGGATTATAGGCATGAGCCACTGTGCCTGGCCAATGTGATTATTTAAGGGTACTAGTTCTTTTGATCCATGAGCGTGGCATGTTTTTCCGTTTGTATTATCTTCAATTTTTTTCATCAGAGTTTTGTAGTTCTCTTTGTAGAGATCTTTAACCTCCTTGGTTAAATTTATTCCTAGGCATTT